CTAACGAAGTACTGTGACTATTTTCCTCCTTTGTTTAGTGTCTCTCTTTTATGTTTCCTTTTAGAATATAAATTTTGGAATAAGCTTATTTGATTTGCATTGTATGTTTTGAGCCCTCTAACATGTAGCACAGCTTATATACATGAAAGGAGGTCAGTAAATAAATAAAAGGACAAACATTTCTTCTCTTGTGAGATCTCTGAAATGGGGGGCTAAATATGATTTAGAGCACCTCTGAGGCAAGACAGGGAAGGAAGAGCAGGAAAATACAAGTATGTTTTACAGGAGTTGAGAATAATCACTGCCTTATTTTATTACTAAAGTGGGAAGAACAGTCATGAGTAAATGAAAACCACAACAATTGGGTAATCAGTTATATTTGTTCCTTAGAAATAAAGCAGTAATTTCCCAGAATCTTGAATGATCGTATAGGACAATCTCAGATTAACATGAGGATCTATTTGATTCTAGTTTATATTTCCAGGACTTATTCATATATATTTTGTGTGTGGATATGTTTGTGTGTAGGTAATATAAATTACCTACTTTTCTCCAGTTATTTTGTATTATCCTGTATAATATTTGTATTACTTAGGTCATTTGTACTTTTCGGGACCCTATTTTTACTTGTATCTTAGAAATCTTTTCATATTACTACATAAAAATTTATTTTTCAAACCTATGTAATAGTCTATTGTTTTGCCATACATCATTTACTCTCATCATTTTATTATAAAAAATTTCAAATATATAGCAAAATTCTTAGAATTTCACAATGAATAGTATCACATAACTTCCATTTATGTTCTCTTTTTTTTCCCATTAACTTTATTGGTACATTTTAGGTATACAATACATTCATCATTGGGATCTTGTACCTTTACATGATGTATCTTGGTTCTTATTTTTTCCCCATTCCCCTGCTCTCCCTTCACTCCCTCCATACTCCCCTACTTACAAAGACTTTGTTTCATTTTTTTTATTTTCTCGTATTTTTTCTTTTCCCTTTTCTTTCCCCTTCCATTTATATTCTACCATTAACATTTTATTATGCTTATATTACCAGTATTATCCTTCTATCCATCATTCCATGCTATTTTTTAATACAGTTCAGATTAAATTGCAGGTATCATTACACTTCTCCCTGAAGATAATTATTAGAGTTCTACATTTGTTTAGAAGCTTTTCTTTTTTATTAGGTGTACACACACATCATAAATATACATTTTCTGAGTTTTAATAAATGCTTGGACTTATATACTCTCTCTACCAGAATATAGAACATTAATAGTACCCCAAAAGGTTCCATGTCTTTTTCCAGTCAGTCTTTGCCCCATGTCTCCAGAGGCAATTTTTTCCTCCATCGATTACCTTTCTTTGTTCCAGAATCTCATATAAAAAGACCCTAAAACGTCGTGCTCTTTGGTTCTGGTTTCTTTCACTCAGCATAATGACTTTTGAGATTAATCTGTATTCTAACTTACATTTCTTTTTAAATTTTTTTCCTTAAATTTTACTTTGATATTGATATAGTCATTTCCACTTTCTTTCAGGATAGTTGAGGTGGGTTTTTGGGGGGTATTTTTAGTACAGGGAATCAAACTCAGAACCTTGCACTTACGAGGCAGGTGCCAGAACCACTGAGCTAAATCCCCATCCCTGTTGAGTATTTTTTATGATTCCATTTTATCTCTGACTCATTAGCTCTAGTTCATCGTTCTTCTATTTGGTGTTTTCTTTAGAGGTCATAGTATATATCATTAACTTATCATCATAATCCACTTTCATGTGATTTATTATACTTCAAATATACGATCATTACAACAACATTCTTGGACTTATTCCCTCCCAGCCTTTGGGTTATTGTTTCAGCATTTTATTTTGTCATATCTCAACTTTAAAGATATTTAAATCCTATGAGAAAAGGTTTTTTATATTTCCTATGTACTCGTGTGTCCAGTGCTCTTTATGCTTTGTGTGGAGCAAATTTCCACCTGGCATCATTTTTCTTCTGCCTCTAAGGCTCCTTTTAAGAATTCTTGTAGTGCAGTCCTGCTGGTGATGAATTCTTTGTTTTCTGAACAGAAAGAAAAGGTTTATTTTGGTTTACATGGTGACCAATTCTTTTAGCTTTTATATCTCTGTAAAAGTTTTTGTTTTGCCTTCCTTTTGCAAATCTCGTTGATATACTCTCTTTTACTACTTTAATGACATCACTGTCCACATTACTTGTCATGGGAAATCTTCAGTAACGCTTATTCTTAGGTTTATTCCTCTGTGTATAATGTGTCTTATTATTCTCTAGCTGCTTTTCAGATTTTTCCCTGTAACCTTGGTGTTAGTGAATTTGATTGTGGTGTGCCTTGCTATCATTTTCGTCATGCTTCTTTTGCTTGGATTTTGTTTAGCTTCTTAGGTTTATGGATTTATAATTTTCAACAAATTTGAAAAATTCTACAAGTTCAGTATCAATTGTTAGTATTTTTTTATCTCCACTTATCATAACGAATCTTTTCTCTAGCTTGTTGAACATAAGGAATTCAAATATAGTAACAATTATAAATGTTCCTGTCTGTTATTCTGATCTTCACAATTATTGGGAGATTAGTTTTATTTGGTTGATTTTTTTTCCCCCACATTATTATGGGTTGCATTTTCCTGCTTCTGTGCATACTTATGTTCTTTGGGGAGGGCAAACATTGTGAATTTTAATTTGTGGATTCTCTGTATTTTTGTGTTTCTATAAATATTCTTGACGTTTGTTCTGGGATGTAATTTAGTTATTTGTGAATAGCTTGACCCATTTTTAGGTCTTGCCTTTAAACTCGGTTAAGTAGAACAGAGCAGTGTTTAGTCTACAGCTAATCTTTCCTCTTTACTGAGTCACCAGTTTTTCTGAATAATCTTCCTGATTCCTTGTGAATTATAACTATTTCTTTTCTGACTGATAGAAATAGAACTATTTCTGCCCCTTTGTAAGCTCCAAGTATTATTCTTGCTACTGCTTTCAGGTGGTCTTTTTTTCTGTTGACTACAGTAATCTCCTTACACATGATATACTGATGTAATGATCAGTACTCAGCTGAAGATTTGAAGTAGTCTGGTTTTCTTTAGTTATTTCTTTATATAGCTTTACCTCTTCAGCACTCTATCTTGCAAACATGAGCCACTTTGGCCTCCCTGAACTCCCAGTTCTGTTTCCTCAGTTTAGAGAGACCACTGACTTCCCCTAGGTTCTCTCCCTGCATTGAAAGAGTTGGACTTTATTTTTTCTTATGAATATGCAGATATTTTGTTTGTTAAAGAGATTTTACTTAGCCAGGCTCAGTGTGTAGACCTGTAATGCCAGCTACTCCAGAGGCTGAGGCAGAAGGATCACAAATTCAAGCCCAGCCCAGGCAAATTAGAGACTTTGTTTCAAAATAAAAATAAGAATGTAGCTCAGTGCAAAGGCCCTGGGATCAATCCCCAGTACCAGGGGAATAAAGTGTTTACTTCTCATTATATTGTTTTGACACCTTTGTCAAACATAAATGAATTTGTGTGTCTTTCTGGATTCTCTACTGTTTTTATCCTTTTAAAAATTACTTCCATATTTGCAATGTTGGTTATAAAAAACTCAATACAATATTACATGCTAATTTGCATGTCCTTATTTCATGAAACTGATACATTAGGCTGTATCAACTTGTATAGGTTGCCTTTGAAAATCCATATAACTGAAGCTAGTCATGATGGTACACACCTTACTCCCAGCTACTTAGGAGGATGAGATGGGAGGATCACTTTAGCTCCTAAATCCAAGACCAGCCTAAGCAAAATAGCAAGACCTCTGCATAAAAAAACAAACTATATTCTTTTTTTTTTTGGTACCGGGGATCAAACTCGGGTCTTTGGGCTTGCATAGCAGGCAGCGAAACCACTGAGCTAAATCCCTGGCCCAACAAACTATATTCTTATACCCCATTATATATTATATCCTGTATGTTACTGATAGATGTGTACATGCTTCATGTTCTACTGTTAAATTTCTTATAACTCAGATTTTAATAAATAATTTTCTATTTTATGCTTCACCAAATTTTATTGGAATGGTGTACCCAAAATTTTTATTACTGTTAAAGGGAAAAGTCAGTTACCTACTTAGAAAATATAAGACAAATTTTCATGTGTGTGTATGTGTGTGTGTGTGTGTGTGTGTGTGTGTGTGACCCAGCACCATTGTTACATCCCCAGCTGTCTTAGTTAACTTTTTTCATTGCCAAGACAAAATATCTGACACCCAAAGTTAAAAGAGGAAAGGTTTATTTCAGCTCATTGTTTGCAGACATAGTGGCATAGTCCAAGGCAGAGAGGCATTGCAGAGGAGAAACAGTCCATAGTGTGGCAAGCAGAAGGCAGTGAGGAGAAAGGAGCAGCAGAAGCAGGGAGCCTGCCTTTCTGTGTTATCCCAGCTAGGCCATAAGCCTTTTGGGTGGTGCTACCTATATCCAGATTGGGGCTTCTGTCTTCAGGAAATCCATTCAACTTCACCCAGATTTATGCTAATTCTACTCAGTGGACTAATTTAGTTCCACACACCTTAATCCTGGTATCATGAAAAGCATCACCTATGAGTGCATGAGGCTTTAGGGGGATATCTAGATACAGCCATAACACCAGTCTTTTTTTTTTATTTTGAAACAGGGTCTCACTAAGTCACTAAATTGTGCATGCTGGACTCAATCTTATGATTCTCCTGCTTCAGCCTCCCAGAGTGCCACAACTGTAGGCTGTACCATCATGCTCAGATGTAAAATAAGACAAATTTTCTTAGAAATACCTTTTTCTACTTTTTAACTTAATTATGTATTTATCTTAGGATTTATTTTCTATTTGATGTCTTTTTTATATAAAAAAGCACTTTCTTATGAAGTACTCATTTCGATAAAAGGCCCCAAACAATGCGTTATTAATATGTTGTCATTGAAACTTATTAGTGTCTTTTTTTTCTTTTGTAGAACATACAGTGGGAGAGGTTATTAAATTAGATCCTGATGGATCTCCAAGAAAAGTCTGGGGGAAAAGCCCTACAGATTCAGTTCTAAAGATACTTGGAGAAGCTGAACTTCAACTTCAGACAGAACTATTGGAAAATACCACTATGAGAAGTGGTAAGCAGAAACTAGTTGTTTTTCTTACTAGAAGTAATATCATTTAAAAATTGAATATTTAAGGTGTGTCAATTTTAAGTGAATTATTTGAAATAGATCATCTTTGTTACAATAATTTCCTAATAATATAAAAACAATTTTATTTTCTGGAGAATTGTCCTCAGTGGTGGTCTTGAATTTTGATCTGATTGGATCTAGATTGGATCTAAAATAAGTATGCAGGGGGGAGTTGGAAAAGTCAGAACAGTGTTTTCCATGAAAAAAATATATAGGAGCAGTGTATTAAGATGAATGGTGTATGTTTTTATGTAGACTCAGAAATTAAACTGACTAACAGATATCTCTAGTAGTTATGGCAGACATCCTAGAAGTAGGGAGGGACAGTTATGAGGCAGGAAACACTCATTTCCATGAGTCTTTTGGGTTTTGATTTTATAGCTATGCATAAGGAAGAGTGTCCATGTATAAAACAGGCATTTTCAGATTAAATAGCCTGTTCTTATGGTAAGTAAATTGAATGTAGTGTTCCTCTTTGGGAAAATGTGTCTGTGTGTGTGCACGCGTGTGTCACTTTCTGAGTTCTCTTTTTCTGTCATTCTTTTTCTGTCTTTCCTTAAAGCTTAGAGTGAAACTCATATCTGAGGTTAGTGGTAAAATAACCTGGGAGGTAAGGTTGTTGACATGTTTTATAATGGAATTGGCTGGATGCTGAGAATTAAGACTGTGAAACAAGCCTCTGTGTACAAGTTACTGAAAGGGCAAAAGTAGATTGCTGCTGCTTTATTAAGGATCAGTCTCCTAGACATTAATCATTCCATTATTTTCTTTTTTCTTCTTTTTCATCTTCGTCTTCGTCTTTGTCTTCGTCTTCGTCTTCGTCTTTGTCTTCGTCTCACTATGTAGTTCAAGCTGGCCTTGAACTCGCTATGTAGCCCAGGCTGGCCTCAAATTTATAGCATTCCTCCCGTGTTGGAATTTTGGAATTACAGGAGTGTACCACTACGCAAGAATAATAGTAACTTAATATTACACTTTAATGTGGGCCTCATGCTTTATTCAGGACAAAAATGCGTCCAGGTTCTAAAACATTTTTTAAAGTAATGATTGGAAAATTCAGATCATTTTGTATTCTGAAAGTTCTATGTATATACATGCCTATTAGAACTTTTCCTTTAGAAGCATCAGATTCTGATTTCTCTTATATAAAATTTTTATTGCTTAAATATATATAATTTGGTATACAATAATACTTAATCAGTATAAAATAGGGTTTTCATTCTCCATATTCATCAAAATCTACCTTCATAGAATTGAAACTGAGAATTTACTTGTTTGACTTTTTAAAATTCAGTTCCCTAACTATTTATTGAACACTTATTAGCTGGACACACTATTATATATGATACTGTCACCAGACAGTATCTAAGGAGGTCCCCAAAGGGGTGATGCTGATTTCACCCTGCCCCCATAAGTTCTTGACGTCATTGCAGAAAAGCATTTCAGGATATGTCAGTAGGCTGATTTGTTAGGCAGAGTTAGAAAGAAAGAGAAAACGGGAAGAGAGTCCAGCTTGAGGAGCCAAAGGGCCATTAACAAAGGAATGTAACAAAGAAACAGGGCCAGCTTAAAGGAGCTGGGGTGGGCTAGGATCTGGTTGATCATTATCTCAGTGTGGCCTTGCAGATTATCTCTGAAGTCCTTATAACTTAATGCAGTCTCCATGAGATGCTGTACTTGGAGCAGGCTCAGTTTTGTGGCAGCTCTTCTGGGATCCTGGGTTAAAGGCAATTACTGGAAACTTCTCGGCCTGCATTGGTAGTTGAATGTGTAGTAAATCTCTTACTTTGGTATGCTTAGTCTTGAAGCGGGGGATAAAATAGGTTATTTAAATTTAAGGCTACTCAACCTTGTATAGGTATTGACAGCTTTTAGACAGACACTCCTTAAAGAATAACATGCCCATATGGAGAGCTGAGAAGGTATTTGACCCAAAGTTTTAAAATAAACAAGGAGACAGATACTAAATGAAGGTCAAGCTTTGTTCTACTTTTAGTAACCTACAGGGCATCATCTTTAGGCAAAGTAGAGTCACTGGTTTAATCATTGTTATTTTTGTTTTTAGAAAAAACAACACTTAAGTCCCTAACAGCCTCAGAAAAAAACACAAATCATAGTTTTAATGAGTAACAGGATAAGGACCCAGGAGTTTATCATTTGTCCCCATGGAGGTCTCTGTCTTTCTCAGTATGATGAATTTATAAACAGAAAAAAAGATCATCCTTGCACTTAGGATAGATAAAAGTGAAAAAAAAAAGAATGATAACATTGCATGAAAAGGACATGAATAAAGAATAAATGTCATGCATACACATGATACTCAGAGCTAGTCCAGAGATGTTTCAATAATTAGCTTTATCTTGGATGGTCAAGAAGGACTTCCCAGACTTGTTATCTGCCCTCTTTTTAATTTTGTTTCCCCAACTGCATTACTTGGAAGAATATGCTTTGCACTGGCATTTTAGGACAAAGAAGTGACAATTGTTATCATCATGGGAATCGCATGAGGCAAAGCCTGTGTTAGAGGTGTTGTATGCAAAATGTTCTGGGGCCACAAATGAACTGACTTATCAGTACACCTTCACTAATGATAATACAAGTATTTGTGGCCCTTTTGGGTCAGGGAAAGCCACAGAGAAAGTGCTTTGAGTTAGGCCACAGACTTTTTTTTAAAGGTAGATATTTTTATTTTAAAGGTAGATTTTTTAAATTAAGGTAGATATTTTTACTGCATCCATCTGATGGCTGTCAATGGTTTGCCCTTACCCACATGTGTCTTGAAGTTTGCAAGGATGCCTTGTCATTTTGTCCCATCCACAGCCCAAGTGTACAATGACAGTCAAGTAGGTTGCCAAGAGACTGAAGAAAATTCCTGGAGACAGCTTGTGAGAGATAGGGCTTATTAAAGCATCAACAAGAAAGGACAGAGTTGGGACTTCCTAAAAGGAAAGGATACAGCCCAGTGGCAGTGGGCCAGACAGAAAACTACCAGTGTCTAGTGGTATTGGGCATAATAGAAAATCACCAGAAGTTCTAGGGGCAGTAGGCCAGTCGGGGAAATCACAGAGAGAACTTGAAATGTCCAGTGCCATCTGGCTGAACTACAGCACTCCACAGATTTTTTTCTCTACCTAGCTATTGTAGGGAGGGGCTTTTAGAGTTTAAACTACAGAGCAGTTGCATCATCATCTTGCTTTGTTCTACTGTGTGATCAGTATTTCAAGAAACACCTGATTTAGCACATAGGCAGAAAGGCAGTTTCTATAAATATCATAAGTTTCCCCAATTCTCAGTGTCCTTTAGATAAAACAACTCACAAGTACCTGTATCAACTTTTTTCTCCTAAAGAAATTAAATGAACCAAGGACAGTTTCTATAAACTCAGTGTTCTGATAGGACTACAGGCAGTACAAAAGCCCCTCTTGCATTTGGGGATGTATAGTATTTGTTCATTTTCCATTACTAAGCAAAATACTTGTGACCTGATAACTTGTAAAGAAAGGGGAGTCTTTTTAGCTCAGAGTAGGCTGTAAGTCCAAACAACATGGTTGGTGTAAGCTCCAGCTGCATCATCTCATGGAGGATGGTACCATGGCAGAACAGTCTGGTAGGAGAGATTGTATAGTGAGACAAGAAGCAAGAGTGTTGAAAGCTTGTTATTTTGTAATGACACTTTCACAAGAACTAACCTGGGTTTCAGATGAGCCACTTCAGTTCCTTCCAGAGGCAGCACCCACAGTGACCTCCCATTAGACTTTACCTCTTAAACGTCCCACCACCTGTTAACATTGCCACACTTGGAACTAAGTTTTTAACAGATGAGTCTTTGAGGGGGCACACTCAAGCCATCTCTAAACCACAGCAAGAAATAATGAATTGTAATTGAGACCAATGAGCAAGGATTTTCGTTTTCCTCCAGCCGTTTCAGCCATGCCTACATAGATGTAGCAGGCAGAGAATTAAATTCATGTAGGGTTGAGGTTTTTGCCATTTGAGCGCAATGAAGTGAGTGCCATGAGTTGAGAATTTGTGCAAAAGAAAGATTATAATATTGAACTTAGATGAATTTTAATGGGGTGGTGGAGAAAGAAAATATGGCAGGATTATCTCATTGTACATGCTTGTAGGGTTGGAGTAGTATAGGAATATAAGTAAAGAAAAAAAAGAACATTAGAGATTGGAGGGTAGAATACTTAAAACTGTAAATTTTGAGGAGCTGTGATCTATGATTAAGTCTTAAAGACATGAGCACTGGAGAGACCAAGCTCACGTGAAGACTGAGATAGGGTAAAGTTCAATGAACTGAGAGGTCTGGGTATTAGAAGATTATTTATATAAATTTGTAAATAATCTAATTAATTATGACAACATTAGTATTTGGGTATTTGTAAGGTGTAAAGTAAAATCTTCAGCAAACGAACAGGGAGAATGACCTGAGCATAGATAACTATACTAAGTTTTTATGTTGTAAATCTGTTCTCTCTTGGCACCAGTTAGCAGTATTGAGAATTTCAGAGCAGTTAGAAGTGACTACAGTATCAGTTAACTACAGATGAACAAAGCAATTAGTTTATAATTTTTAAAATGCTATTCTGATACATATATATTGTTTTTTAACCACTCTAGGAATCATTATATACATTTGAAATGAAATTTGACTGTCAAATACCTTAATCATGTATTAATTTCTAATTTGTAACAGAGCTTAGCTAATAATTATGTCCTAAGAATGCAATTCTTTGAACTTTCCTCCAAGTGTCATTGCAAGTAAAATTCAAGTCATTTTGAGAATTAGCATGATATTTCTTTTTTTTTTTAGAGATTTCTCCTGAAGGAGAAAAGTACAAACCCTTAATCACTGAAGAAAAACTACCTTGTATTTCACAAGAAATAAACTCATCCACTACTGTTGATTCTTCTGTTGAGATCAAAAGTCCAAAGTTTAGTGAGGCATCTCCACAAACGTTATTGGAACCAAAAGGAAATATGGAAGGTATGTTTTAATGGGTCAAAATAACTTAATTTGGCTAGGCATGATGACACACACCAGAGGCTGGAAGATCACAAGCATGAGCCCAGCCTAGATCATTTAGGGACTTTAGCAAGACCCTACCTCAAAAATTAGAAGTACTAGGGATGTAGCTCTCAGGGTAAAAGCCCTAGGTTCGGCTCCCGAGTGCTGGGGAAAAAGAAAAGATTTAATAATACTAAAATGTAAGTGTCAGGGATTATGTCAAGGTTCAGCTATGTGCTTTTCCTAATTCATGTGCCTTTGTCTCAGAGTTCACTTGATATGGTATTCAGCTGGCAATAAAGTCATCTGAAAAGTTCAGGATGGCTTTACTGATGTCTTGGAACGTACAGCTGAAAAGCTGAGCTAAGATGGGCCTCTCTCCCTCTTCATGTAGTCACAGCCAGCCTAGATTCCAGGCAAGGGAAAACTGTTAAAAAATTTCTTCAGGGTATTTAACCATAAATGGATGTTGGATTTTGTCAAAGCTTTCTGTGTGTCTGTTGAGATGATCGTGTGATTTTTGCCCTTGCTTCTGTTTATGTGATGTGTTACATTTAGTGATTTGCATATGTTAAATGATCCTTGCCTACTTGGGATAAAGCAAATCTGGCCATGATTTATGATCTTTTTAATGATCTGTTACATTTGGTTTGCTAGTATCTTGTTAAGAATTTTTGCATCTATGCTCATTGAAGAGATTGGCCTGTACTTTTCTGTTTTAGTTAGGTCCTTGTCTGATTTTGGAATCAAGGTAATGCTAGTAGCTTCCAGGAATGAGTCTGACAGTACTTTTTCCCTTTCAGTCTCATTAAAGTTTGGGGAGTTTTGACCATTAGATATTTCCTAAAGTTCTTGTAGAATTTAGCAGTGGATCCATCAAGTCCTGGGCTTTTCTTAGATGGTAGGTTTTTTATTACTTGCTCAATTCTACTGCCTGTTATCAGATTGCTTAGGGATTTTATATATTCTTGGTTCAGTTTTTTAAATTCATAAGTATGTAGGAATCTATCCATTTGCTTCTGAATTCTCTAATTTGGGAGTATAGGTTTTTGAAGTAGTTACCAGTAATCTTCTGGATTTCAGTGGTGTCCATTGAGAGTTCACATTTTTCATTTCTAATTGCATTGACATAGGTCTTTTCTTTCCTTCCCTTCTTGCCTCACATATCTGTATGCCAATTTCTTTTCTTTTTTGTTGTTGTTATTGTTTTTTTTGAGACAGGGTCTCACTAGTTCAGCCTGGCCTCAAACTTGTGATGATCCTCCTGCCTCAGCATGCCAACTGCTGGGATTACAGGCATACACCACCATCCCCGGCTGTATAGCAATTTCTTACCCATACTTGGAAAGTTTTCTGCTTTTATTTTATCTTTTTTTTTTTTTTTTGGTACCAGGAATCAAACTCAGGGCCTCACACTTGTCAGGCAAGCACTGCTCCACTGAGCTACATCCCTGGCCCTGCTTTTATTTTATAAACAGGTTTTTTTATACTATTCCTGCCATCTTCAGGTTTTTCACTAATTCCAGTTAATCATAGGTTAGTCTTCTTTACATCATCTAACAGCTACTGCATTCATTTTCCATGATCTGTTGTTGGGTTTTTAAAATTTGTTTTGTTTTGTTTGGATTGGTTGGGTTTCGTTGAGTTTGGTTTGGTTTTGTTGTTTGGCTTTTTGAGACAAGGTCTCACTATAGTTCAGGCTGGCCTTGAACTCACTATGTAGGCTAGGCTGGCCTCGAACACATAGCAGTCCTCCTGCCTCAGCCTTCTGAATGCTGGGATTGAATATAAAGTCATCTGCATCAGCCCTATCGTCTAGTTCTGACACTCTCTCTCCTCACATTGGTCACTCTGCTGCCCATACTTTCAATATAATTTTTTCTCCTGCATTTGTGTATGGTACCTTTTCATGGACTCTAATTCTTTATTGAGCTGGTCATATTTTGAGTCAACTTGTTTAGCTCAGCTAGCTCTTTTTCCCCCCCATTAAGTTTATTGGTACATTTTAGGTATAAAATACAGTTACATTCATCATTGGGATCTTGTACCTTTACATGAGTATCTTGGTT